AGACTGGCATCATCGTGGCTTGGGCTGCTGACGTTGCGCGCCGCTTTGCAGGTTCTGATCGTTTGCACGTTGCTGGCTGCTGCCTCGTGGACTACATGAGGACGTTGAAAAATCACGGTCGCATACTTCCACGGGCAACGTGTCGTGAGCTCATAGAGTTATCCGTGCGCCACATTACGTTGATGCAGGAGGCTGGCGTCAAACAGGCTCCCAAGAGCCATATGTTTGTACATCTCACCCAACGCATACTGATGTGCGGCAATCCGCGCTCGTATGCAACTTTTTTAGACGAGTCATTGAATCGAACTTTAGCTGAAATTGCAGCTGCTGCAAATCATAGTAGGGCCACATGGGAACGCGCGATTTTTTCCCGCGTTCACTTGTTGCCACACGTTTTACCTCATGCGGCGTTCGCGCAGTTGTGAAGGATTTCTGTACTGCCCAGGGGTGATGGGGCTGATCTGCGCCTCGGGTCTGAAACAAACGTTATCATGCATACCATTGCATCTCATATATATATAGAACCATCACCACCATGATCGCATATCATCCCGTAGCCATTCCAGGCCCAAACGGTTCAGGAGAAACACTGGATTCGATGGAAGATATTCCGAGCAGCTCCTGCGCGGGCATGGCGCGCGACTGGCTCGAGGCAGCCAAGAGGATCGCCCCTTGGATCCAAGGTGCTCGCATGACGGTGATCAGCCCTTGCTGCGGTCTGGACACCCCGACTCAAGCGCCGTGTGCTATGGGTGCCACGGTGCAGAGCATCGCTTTCGATACGGAGCCCAAGCTGTTGCCAGCAGTGCATGGGGTTCATGACCACTTGGGAGTCGTTGATGGCAGTATCAACCTCGGTTCCGAATCGGGAGATATTTGCAAACAACAACTCTCCGAGCTCCCCGACGCAGATGTGATAGTGTCCGGCCCTCCTTGCCCACCATTCTCGCGGGGAGGGAAAAGACTCGAGTGGGCAGACGGCAAGACAATGCCTTTCGCCACGACGTGCCTGATGATCAAGGAGCAGGCTCACCGCCAGCGCAGTCGCCTGATCGGCTTCGGCCTCGAGAACGTGAAGGGGATGTTGGACTGCCTAGCTGACGGAATCGCATGTCCCGCTGACGAGGTCGCAGAGTGGCTCTGTGACAACTTGCCAGGGTGGTATATATGGATGTGGCGTATGGAGACATCGAACTTCGGCGTCAATCAGCACAGGGAGCGCATCTACATCATGGGCCGCAAGATTGACCAGTTCAGCCGATCAGTACCCCTCACTGACGCGGAGACGATCCAGATCGTGAAGAAGAAGCTCAGGGACTTCCTCGACGTGGACGAGCCCCCCTACGATGAGGAGCAGCTCTCCGAGAATCAGATGGCGGCCTTGCAGTGGCGTCGTGAACGCGTCGAGGAGCGCCGCGACGAATGTCCAGAGTGGACGGTTGCAGTCTTCGACCTGTCACGCACGCCAGGACGGGTCTACAAACCAACATGCAGGCTGGATGACAAGGTCGTGACGCTGACGACCAGGAACGGGAGATGCGCATGGATCCAAGGAGTGTCCAAGAAGTTGCCCTCCTTCGACCGCTTCCTGCTTCCAAAGGAGAGGGCGGCCTTGCAGGGCATCGAACCATGGATCGTGGACCGCCTCCCTGGGCTGTGCTCGCAGTACACAGCGACAGGCAACGCTATGAGCCTGCCGTGTGTCGGCTTATGCCTCGCTTGCATGTTGGAGGATATCCAACACCCTGGCACATATAAGTAAGGCCATGTATATAGTTTAACGTCGCTTTCAGACGCGCTGGTCCGTGTGGCGAGGTGCACCCGCTTGTTTTAGCAGGGATGCCCGAGAGGAGCGCAGTTAGATTCAACATGGAAGGACTAATGCATCAATGAGGAGAGCATTGACAGGGGCATCAAGCGATGAGCAATGGTGGAGGGAGGAAGGAGGGGTTTGGAGTGTGGCGGGGAGGAGGAGGAGGAGGAGGAGGAGGAGGAGGTGGAGGAGGAGGAGGAGGACGACGACGACGACGACGACGAAGACGAAGCCGACGACGGCGAAGCCAACGACGACGACGACGACGACGACGATGATCACGACGACGACGACGCCGACGACGACGACGACGATGACGGCGACGACGACTAGCCAGACTAGCCCTCCCTTGCCCCCTCTCCCTCGCCTCCCCACCCCTTGCCTCCGCGCGCATCCCGCCCCACTTACGCCCTCCCGATCTCCAACATCACCTCGTGCTTCATCCCTGTCCCTGTCTACCTCCCCCCCCCACCTCCCTCCATTCCCTCCCCACCTCTCCCCGTGCCTAGGGCTTGGAATGAAAGCGCGGATGGCATGCCTCGTCGCCTCTGGCTCTGGCATGCTCGCAGTCCCCCTCCGACGGCACGGGCGCAGATCGATCCTAAAGGGGGTAGCCGCGCTGCGGAGACCTTTAACAACCAGGTTACACCCTCCACTAAAATCGGCGGGCAGGCCCGAAATACTTAACTTCTGTATTTCGGGCCCGCCTGCTGACTTGAAGGTCTGCTCTGCAGAGGGTGGGCATGAAAAGGACGAGGAGGATGAGGAATGATGCAACGAAAATATAACTATCCAGAATTTGTTTGGGGCGACACGTGGTCGGCAACCGCCGAATGCTGCCCTGTCCACTTGAAGGGTAATTGGAGGGATGGGGGAGGAGGATAATAACAACGACGAGGAGGGAGGAAGGGGAGGGAGGCGGAGGCCGGGTGGACGAGGGCCCCCTCGCGGCCCGAGCCGCAGCGACATGTTGCACGTCCCGCCCCCCCTGGCCCCAGTGGGCAAACTAAATCTGGGCAGGGCCCGACGCAGGAGAGGCCAGAAACATCTGGCCGCTTGTTTTGGACCCGCGGGCTTGGACATACTTGTTGTATGTGTACGCGCATACATGTTTATACAATCAGGCGCAAGCTCAAGACTTTCGCCTGCCATGTGGGCCACGCACTAGACTTGCCGACGTGGCAGCAGGGGGCCTACTCGGACGAATTCCAAGGCACCAGAGATTTCGAGCTGTCGATGATGAGCACATATGCCGCATACCACCAAACGCTAAGCTTTGCGTGGAATGTGACAAACTGACCTCGCATCACCGCTGGAAAAAATCGCGCCCCACCCCTGTGCCCAAGTTGGCCCTTTATTTTTTGTTGCCCCGCATGCTTCACGAATAGCACGCTGTTCCGTTTGAGGCCTTGTGCGCCATTTATGCAAGTTTTAATGCTTTACACGCTTGGTGTTCCCTCTGACTCGAGCTCGCGATTGGGTTGGTCAGGGAAGTTTCTCGACGTTACCATGCGTGCGCGCGCGGTTTGTCCGATGTGTAAATGACAGCACTCCTCCCTTTCCCCCCGAACGCCCTGGCGGCCAGACAGGGGGCCCGAGCAAACAAGAGGCTTCCAAGAGGCCCCAAAAAAGGCTCCAAGAGGCCCCAAGAGGCCCCAAAACGCCCCAAAAAGCTTTCAAGAGGCCCCGCAAAGGCTCCAAGAGGCCCAAAAGGAACCCCAAGAGGCCCCAGAACTGTTCCCAAGAGGTCCCGAAACTGTTTCCAAGAGGCCCCCGAGAGACCTACCACGAGGCCCTAACGAACACTCAAGAGGACTCTGGCCCACAACCCAAACACGGTGGTGGGATGGGCAGAAGGCCATTAGATACTCGCATATCACGCGGCCCGCGTTTTTACATCGTTGGGCGCTGTTTGCATCGTTCGGATCGTGTTTACATCGCTGGGTCGGAATTACATCGGCGGGGGGAAATTTACATCGAAGCCGGGCGATGTAAAAACTTTACATCATCTACCCCGTGGGTAAGGCGGAAGGCCACAGGCAGCCCGAACCAGGCCTTGTGCCCTCGGATGGCAGAGTCCTCTCAGGACTGAGCAATGCGCTCAGCGTCAGACCCCAGCGCGTCCACGTCGGCACGGCAGGAGCCGCCGGTCTCACCCGCGCCATCCTTGACGCTGCCGCGGGATTCCCCGGCATCCCACCGGACATGCGCAGGATGTTTCGGAATCGTTTCTGGAAGCCTCGATAGTTGGGCGAGCTTCGCGGCGCTCAACAGGATACCCTCGGGTCTGTCAGGGTGCCTCTCGATGCCTCGGAGTTCTTCAGGATTCCTTCGGGTCCGTCAGGATGCCTCTGGATGCCTCGGAGCTCTTCAGGATGCTTCGAGGACTCCTCATGCTTCCTCGGAATTCTTCAGGGTTCCTCCAGACCCCCCCCCCTCGACCCTCCCAGCCCCCAGCGGCCCGTGTGGGTGGGGGGGAGGCCCGGGCCTCCCTGCTGGGGAGCTCATCCGGCAACGAGCCTCCCGTACCGACTGGCGAAGCCGGGCCGGCTTCGGTGAGATACCCCGCACGTGCGCTCTGCTCGAGCCGCAGGGTCGCAGCAGCAAGCAGACACGCACCTCCCAGATCCCCTGGAGGCATGACAAAAAATCACGACGGCTTCGCTATTGTTTGGCCTCCAGGGGCCCTTACTGGGCTTCGGGACCGTCAAGAAACTGCTCAAGACTAGACATTAGTCCCGGGCCTCTGGGTGGGTGTCGACGTTATGAGAAAATCATGTCTGGGATAGCAGCGTGCATCGTGATTCCTTGTCTCACGTCGAGTGTCTGCATGCGGGGGCCGGCTCCCGTTGCAGCTTGAACTCTTCACAGTGCGCGGTATGGCTGTCGTTGCCGCGGTGCGTGCGCCATTCGGGAGGAGGGGAAGAAAGACGCGCACTCCCGGCCACGCGCAGAGGGCGGCAGGGGGAGGGGGGAAGGCTTCCTAGAAGCACCCCTGCTTTTTGGAAGGCGCGGGCCGCATCTGTAGATGTCTGATGTAGCAGACCTCCTTCTGAGGAGCCTTCCACCCTCCCCCTACCCCCCGAGGTGCGCGCCGCCAAGAAAAGCCGCGCACTCGCGTGCGCGCAAAGCGCGGTGGCGGCCTGGCAGAAAGCGGCGTTGGCCTTGTGGGCCCCCCCTCTCCGAGGCCGGCCTGACGCGCGTGCAGAGCCGCCAGCTGCAGCGGGCGGCCGGAGCCGCGCCCGACAGCGCCGCCGCGCCCGCCGGCGCGCAGGGGCCGCCGCGGCCCTCGGCGCCGCCCGCTCAAGCGCAGCCAGCGCCCAGCACCGCCGCAGACTTGCTCAGACCGAGGCCCCGGGCCCGAAGCTCCAGGCTCAGTACGCTCCTTGGCCCCCCCTGGGGCCACGCACGTGCCTCGGGCCACGATGCGCTTCCCCCTCCTGGACGCCCCCGGAGCCCGTGTGCACGCGGCTCTCGATCCAGGCCTCCCACATGGGGTCCGAGTAGATGTGGTCGGGGGAGGGCGCCGCATCGCTGATGCATCGGCGATGCGGCTCGATGTGGAGCCCGACCTTCTCCACGCCGCCGTCGCCGATGCATCGGCGATGCGGCGCGATCCTCCGACCACATCTTCTCGGACCCCATGTGGGAGGCCGCTAGAAGCTCGCGATCGCAGTGGAACGGAGAGCCCCCCACCGAGAAATCGGTTTCGGTCTCGAGTTCCTGTCGTGCGTGCGGGCGAGGCGAAGCTGCGCGGGCGCGCGCGAGGAATGACCCCGCCGTCGCTAGGGCGATTCGTATGCAGTGGACCGCCCCTCCGCCCCCGGTGGGCGCGCGGTGGCCCGGGGTGTCTCGCCATGGTGTCCTGTTGATGTCCCGTTGGTGTCCCGTCGGTGTGCCGTCGGCGGTGGGCGGGCCGTGGCCGGGGGCGTCCCGCTTTAAGGTATCGAAAGAGAAGCCCACAGTGAGATCGATAACGAGATCGCCAGAGTGGAATGGACTGTGAGATCCTAAGTGAGACCGCGTGCGGCCAGGAAAAATCCGCCAGCACTCGGCCAGCTGAACTCGGCCAGGCTGACCCCGGCAGGCCGACCTCGCCCAGGTATACTCTCGGCCGCGCTGGACTCCGCCTGGCCGAGCTCCGCCTGGCCGAGCTCGCCCTGGCCGAGGCTCGCCCGGCCGCGTCTGCCCCCCCTGCCGCCGCCAGGGACCAGCTGCTCAAGGCCGACCAGCCGGAGCAGCCCTCCACGCCGTCGCCCCAGCGGCGGGGCAGCTCGCCCTCGGGCGCCGGGCCCTGCCCGCCGCAGCCCGCGCAGGCCGCCGCCGCCCCGGGCGCCTCCTCCGGCTCCGCGGGGCCCGCGCCACGCCTGCAGGCGTCGCGGCGGCCCCCGCTGCCGCAGCCGGGGCCGGAGTGCTCGCCCGCGGCGCGCAGCCCGCTGGTGGCCGGGCACGTCAGACATCGGGCGCCTCGAAAAAAGGTATCGAGACGGATCGGTTTGTCCGCGGTGTCGGCCTCCCCGGGCCCTCGCCAGGCCCCGGGTCCGGAGCAAAAACGACTCGGGATGAAAAGCCGATCCAAGGGGAAGCGGTCGAGGTCAGGGGCTCGTCTCTCGAAAAATTGAGGCGTCGGATGTCTGGGGACAACACGTTCCAGAGAGCGTTCCTCTCAACGGTCTCCGTGTCCGATTGTGTCTCTGCCTCGGCCTCGTCCTAGTTAGGTGGGGTTGCCGCTGGGCGGCGGCGGGGGCGCCGGCGCGCCGCCGGCGCCCTCGGCGCCGGGCGGCGGCGGCGCGGGCGCGGCGGAGCCGGCCGAGTGCAGCGGCGACGGCTGGCAGGAGCTGGAGGGCACGCTGCTGCCCAGCGAGGAGGGGCTGGCGGCGCCCGCGGGCGCAGGCGGCGCGGCGCTGGCCGCGCCAGAGGCCAGTGGTGGCAGCGGCTCCTTCCACTTCGACCTCACGCTGCTGCCCGAGCGCCTGTCTGGCTCCAGCGGCGCGCAGCCGTTGCCCGCCGCTGCGCGCGGCAGCAGCTCGAGCGCGGACCAGTTCGCCGAGGAGGTGGCTACGGCGGTCGCCGCCTCCACCTCCAGCGCCACGCTGGAGAAGCTGCTGAGCCTGCGCAGCCTCACGACGCCGCGAGACGACCCGCCCGACGACTCTGGCGAGGAGGCCGCGCTGGGCGCTGGCCAACTGCCCAGCGGCGCCGCGGCCGCGGGCGAGATGGCGGAGGGGGCGGAGAGCCTGGAGCAGTGGGCGGCCGGCCAGCTCGGCCACGAGTCGGGCCCGCCAGGCCGCATGCCAGAGGCCCTGCGCCTGCGGCTGGAGCGCCGCGCCGCCGAGCGAGCGGCCGCCAGGGGCTCCGCCGCGGCGGCCGCGGCGCCAGAGGCCAGCCCGGCGCCGCAGGCCGCACCGCAGCGCCGCAGCGCGTCGGCCTGCCTGGGCTCGTCGCCAGAGGCGCGGCCCAGCGCGCAGCCGCCGACGGCGAGGCGAGGCGCGCCGCCGCCGCGCGCAAAGTCGGTGCCGAGCGGCGGCGGCGGCGGCGAGGGCGGCGGGCGGCAGATGTTCGACAAGAACACGCTCAGGCTGCCTCCTCCCCTCGCCTCTGCGCAAGGGTGGCCCTTTGCCAGAGCGACCGTTGGCGCAGGCACATTGGAGCCCCCCCGGCACTGGCTCGCGCGCTCGGATTTGCCCCCCCCCCCACCCCACCCCACCCCCCCTCGGCCACCCCGCGCGCCAGAGATCGCTCTCGCCCGCGTCCACTTCTGCGAGAAGCCGATCCTGTCCGCCTTCCCGATCCCCAGTCCTCCCAGGATGAACCACAGCGAGCTGTTCCTGGCGGCCATCGGCGCGTACCGGGCCAGGCTGCGGGCGGGCGGCGCCACGGCGCCGCGCGGGGCGGACCTGCTGGCGTGCACGCTGAAGCCGAGCGGCGGGGCTGTGCAGGCCCGGCCGGGGGGCACGCAGGGCACGCCAGGCTGCCCGCACAGGGTCCGAGCACTCAGATTTCGGACCCCCGCAGGCTGATTGATCAGAGGAGCATGATCGCAAACTGGAACATATACATTACCAGCGGCGGGTTATTTTTTTTCAATCCCACGACTTTTTGAAGGCCGGGGGCGACGTCGGGGTGGTGCGGTGTATACTTTTCCCCCGCTTCCCCAGGGAAACAACGAAAAATGTATACACCAGGATCCCGTATACGCCAGGATCCGCGTTCCTGTGCGAATTTCAGCGCAGGGTCGGAAAAAGCGTCTGTGTATAGAGTTCGCTTCCCTACATGAGGTCATGGTAATGATGAGTTCCAAGATGCCCTAGATGTCACAGATGCACTCATGTTCAAGAGGGGCTGCAGAAACGAGGGCCGTCAGATGCTCCGTGGAGATCCTGACACGTCTTCCTGACGCCATTCCCGTCCGAGTTGATTCCCAGATTAGGTTACGGCCAGGAGTTTTGCCTCGGCGCGTCACGCCTCCGGTTCTGGCCCACCGCGCTTCGGCGCGGCACGCTGTCCACGTCCCCAAATCCCAAGCGTCACTGTCACGAGCTGTTCCCAGCCTCCCGCCCCACACGGCGGAACGACACGCTATCCGCTCGCAGGCCACAGTGTGAAGTCGGGCGTGTCCCTCTACAGGAGGGAGATTCAAAAATAGTCAAAAAATAGTCGGGGGATGATTATCCGAGTATATTTGAGGATTTTGGGGGCATGTTTTGATTATTTTTCGTCCCCAATCCGCTTGTAGGGGGACATGCCCGACTTAACCATAGTGTGTCGCCTGGCCCGCCCGTAACATTGTGTCGGAGATGCACCCCAAATTATGGGAAAAAGGCACGGCGAAAGCTTCCGCTCCGGACAAGTAGGCTGGATCTTCCCGCAAAGGTATGGCAGAAGCAGCGACGGCAAAGTAGGGCGGAAGCCGGAGCTCGACCAGTAGGGCGGAAATTCCCGCCCTACTGACGAACTCGCCCGAAGTACGGCGGGTCCGAAGGCAGGGTGCGGCAGGTTCGCGTCGTGTCGTCCCGGCGGCGACCCCGCTCCAGGCATTCGAGGTGGAATGCCGCCAGTGGCCCAGGGATCGGTCAACATGGAGCGACCTATCGGGCCGGACGAAAGGGGGTGATTGGGAAAGGGGGGGTTGCGAAATTTGCTGCATTCAGCTGGTTTCGGCCTCACCAAGGGGCCCATTCCTCGATACATAGCCGCCTCCGGCGCCGGGAGGCGCAGGGAAAATCAGCTACGTCAGCTGATTCTCAAACCCCCCTTTGCTATCCCCCCCTTTCGCCCGACCCGAACCTGGCAATCGAGAAGTCGCCGGTCGTTGCAGGTTGAGCGCTCCACAAAGTTTCAGAGACCAGCGCCGGGGTCGCCCACGCGGGGTCCGGGCACAGTGTGCAGGTCCGAACTGTAGGCACAGGCTTGCCAACGAGTGCCCCACGGAGAACTCCTGGTCCCATGGTGGCCCCAGGGGCCCGCAGCAGCTCCGGGGCGCCCGAGGGCCCTCAAAGATCGGCCAAGAGCGTGCCCCGCGGGGCACGCTCTTGGCACGCTCTTCCTCGCGAGGAACTCTTACAGCACGATTCCTGATATCGCGTGTGGCCACTGTGGACAGGGCGGGGGGATCGAAGAAGAACAACGCCATACGCATGAGTAAAGTTTTGGCGCTCCGCGCGGATCTCTTGGATCCGCGCTGGACCCCCCTCCTTGGCGCGCGAAGCGCGCCAGGGGCGGCGCCGAAGGCGCGCCGATTGTTTATGTCTATGGTGCACCTCTTCTTTCGGGGATGGACAGACCTCCTACCCTGACACGTCGATTAAGGGATTGGCCGTTTTTCGGTTCGCGAGAGGGCGTCGCGGCCGTCATTTTTGCGGGTCCAGATCCGTCGGTGTCGGTCCCAGGCCGTTTTCACTAAGGGGAGGTCTACCAAAGGGAGGTTTGTCCACCGCCGATTCTTCTAGAGGAGGGTCTCGCCGCACTGCCGACGCAGGGGCGATGTGGCGCGATGCGGAGCCCGAGCTTCCAGAGTCCAGCGTCGCCGATGTGTCGGCGATGCGTCGGCGATGTGTCTGGCCCGGGGGAGGGGGGCGGAGGGGCAGACCGAGGATGCGGGAGAGATCCTGCGAGGTCGAAGGTCAGGGAGCGACAGAGGGACGTACACGTCCATGAATCCACGTTGCCATCGAAAGAGCGCCCTGCGCGAACGGTCGTATCACGAGGCTGGTCTCGCGGACGGGGAGGCCGTATTTCTGCCCGTGGTTGGGCGCGAACGTCTTTTGTGGGTTCCCTCGTAGGTTGCGGCTAGGTCGCGTGAGACTTCCCCTCGTCAGGGCACAGAGGACACAGAGGAGGGTGTGCGGTGTGGAGGAGAGGACCGTCGATCTCCGCGCGTATTCGGCTGCGCCTCGACGCTTTTCCGCCGCCGCGCCTGGGGGGCGGGGGGGCATGGAAGCAGGTTCGGCCTTCCATGCCGATGTAGGGGTCGAAGCTGCATCTTCCCTACTGGAAAAGGTACAGCTCTGGGGAGATCGCGAGCGTCCACGAGCGGCACATAGACATTTGCGCTTGCGCTGCGCCGTCGGTTCCGAGTCATACCGAGTCATACCAACAACCAGTGTTCCTTCATCCTGTCCATCTGGCAGCCAGTCTGGTGTGGAATGGAAGCGGGTGTGCTTAAATCTTGCGGGGGTAATATTGGTCCCCTCTGGGTTATGATACTCGTTTGGGTAATTTCGAGCCCGTGACATCGGCTGGTACCGTTCGTGTTGATTCGCGTATTTGATATGCGCATGCCGTTCATTATGGCGTGTGTCCTTAGAGAAGTTCGCCATCGCGCGTGTTATCAAATCGGCTACAAGAGTGGTCCTGGTTCGTCGCCCAGTGTCTCGTATGCGAACGGCGCGAAACTACTTCAATGGCGGGGGTCGGCATAGCATCTCTTGTGTGTTGTCTCCTCTCCTTCCTTGCATCCTTCCATTCTCTCTCCCATTCCCCTTCCTCGTATACTCCTCTCGTTCTCTCTCCCCCCTTGCCTCCCAATGGGGATGAGGTAGGGAAGGGGAGAACGAGGAGGGGGAGGAGGAGGAGGAGGAAGAGGGAGGAAGGAAGGAGGAGGAGGAGGAGGAGGAGGATACATTTGCAGCACCACCCCCCATCCACAGCATCGTGTTTTGCGGCGGGGAGCAAGAAGGAGAAGGATGAGGATTGATTTTGTCGTTTGCCCCTGCCTGCGGTGCGCTCAAGGTGTTCGTGCGCAAAAGGCCCCTCCTCGAGCGCGAGCAGCACAAGGGCGAGTACGACGTGGCCACCGTGCTACCAGGGGAGCCCCTGGCTCGCTCCCTGGTGTTG